AGAGTCATCAATCGCCGCGGGCGGTCCAATACTTGGCACACAGATTCCAGTTTGGATTACGAACCCTTGACCGACGCAGTATCCTTCCACTGTTTCAAGGTGAGCTCTCATGTATTCTCACAACCTCTCATGCTTCCTTTCATCGTCAGAGGGCCCCGACCAAAGCAGGAGGCCTTCTTTCATTCGGCCCCCGTCCCCGTCCCCGTCCCCGTTGAGCAAATCTTCCCCTGACGGACTCGATGCCCCTTGTTGACACATAATACCCTGTAAGACACTGTCGTCCCTAAAAAGTACAGGAGGCCCGCGTTGTTGTGCGGGTCTTAACCAATGTAAATTGCTGGTTCAGTCGTGTCCCTGCTTAGGAAATGCCCCCCCCCCCCCCACAGCTCAGATCGACACGGAGCCAACTGCTCGGTGTCGGTAATATCTGGCTGACATAGAGGAACACTCTGTCTCAGGGGTCCCCACTTGGTGCAGGAAGCTCTCTAACTACATTTGGGATTACGGCCCCACGTGTTGGGGCCCTTAATGCCCACGCTTTGGGCCGTTCACCCTTACAGTCTGGCCTTTGATCTTTGACATCACCTTTCCGGACACCATCAAACACTGCTCACGGCCGACTCGGGTCACTCGCCACCACGCGACCCCTGTTAGGGGCTGTGGCTCCTGACCGTCACAGGAACCCCTCATGGTGCCACGGACCCCGATGTCTGCAAATCGCGACCCTGAGCCTTGTTCCTGTTTGGGAAATGGACACCCAGGGCTCAGGCCGACACTGAGGCAACTGTCCGGAGTTGGTGGTCTCTGGCCGACACAGACGCCCGCATTGTCTCAGGGGTCCTCAACTGGTGCAAGAGGCCCTCTGACTGATATTTCAGGGTACGGCTCTCCGGGCCGCGGTTCTTTATGGGATCTACCGCCAGTGCCCCGGGCCCTGTGCCCTCCGATCGGGCCCTTGATCGTCGTTGCCGGTGAGCCCCCAGGCCTCTCTTTGGGCTTCAGTGAGCACTGTTCTTGGTTACACGTTTAGTTACATACACAGTTACACCCGCCACAAGTCAAATTCCAGCAGCAGAAACCGGCTCATCTTAAATGCTTTCTCACCGTGAGAACAATAGTTTCCAATGACATTTCTTAGAAATGCAGGTTTGCATAAAAACAAACTTGTCATAATGAGAAATGAGTTACAGAGAGGGTTGGATGCCTGATGCATTGCCTATAAATGATTGTCTGCATTCTTGGGTGTCATATCTCCGCCATGAAACCAGTTGGAGGCCGTGACGAGCCCCGTCGTAGGACGTCATTATTGTTGGTTGTTAACCGACGTGGAGCTACAGGTAAGCTCTAGAGCTCTGGAACTTGCAGACTGCAAGTAAGCTATATCACAGGGTGCTTGACGTCATCTCGCGATTCAGAACATAGTACAGCTTCAAGGGAGTTGCAAATAACGCGTGGCCACTTTTGTGCAAGATCTGCTAAAGTAAAAATCTATCATCATGCAGTCCAAGCTGCATTCTAGGGATTTTCCTTCCGGACCTTGGGTTGCCTGTTATGCGCCCGGTTTACATTTTTGTCCAGTTAAGGCCGCGCTGCTCTGCATTTTCTATTCACTTGAGTGGAGAGGTGAGGACCTATTAACAAGGTGGTGGAAAATTTATATAATTATTCGCATGTTTGGCTTCAGAAAAATGGGGTGAAGCCTACGACATTTCACTGCTTACGGTCTCTCCTCTATTCCTTCCTCCTTTCCCGGCTCCAATCACCGTCCTGCTGGTGTGGTTTCTTACCCAAGCACAAACATTCCCTAATGCCAGACTTTCTCGCCATCCACTGTCCACTGGAGACCGCCTGTTCATGGGGTGATAGTTACTCGCAATCCTTAACCAATGTTTATTTCATTTCAGTTGATAGAAAATACATCTCAGGTGTGACGTGACCTATAGGAACTTTCCTTAGCCTAGCTGTGAGGACTACGCTATACACCGACAGAACCGCATTGCATGGTGCTACTTGCAGCGACAAACGCCATTCCGTTTCACGGAAACTGCAACCCAGGCCATCGCTGCCAATGCTTCCGAGATTGTAGATGCGCAGGGACACACCTTTTGATGATTTGTTTCACTAGTCGATTCTGCAAGAGAATAAACGTTCTCAGGCAAAATGGAATGCCCTCGTTCGTGTTTTAACACGTTCTATTTGACACTAATGAGACCCCTTATTTATTTCCGGGAAAGAGGCAATATAAGACTAGGAGGCACTTTCTTGTTTCCCGTCAAGGGCTGAAGAGCAATGCCGTCCCACCGCGGGGTATCTTCCTGCTGCCATTCTGGTCACACGGGGCGGGATCCCCTGGCCGGATTTGGAGGTCCTTAGAGGAATATCACATGATTTTACAGGACAGGTGCAGACACAAGAGGATGCGTAAATAAACGATCCAACAAACGCCTTCACGTCCGCCTGGGCCATTGAGACCCAATTCCCCATGTGGGGTTGTATTCAGGGCTCGGGCCTGCGGGAACAGACCCTCAAACGACAATCAGAGAGCCTTTGCGCCGATCAGGGACATACGGAGTCGATATGGGTCCATATGTGGGTTAAGCGCCACCGAGACCGCACAGTCCGCTCCCTGGAGGGCCCCGTGTCAAGGCCCTATATAACAGGGATGGAGAACCCTTATAAGAGGGCCGTTACAGAAGCCCTCTGACGGACATTTCAGGCCAGGGCACTTCGAGTGGGGGCCGGACCCGAGTCCAATCGGGCCCTTGGCCTTTGGTCCCGAAGGGCCCTCTTGTCCCTCTCCATCCTCCTCAAAAAAGGCTGTGGCCGACTGGGGGACACTAGCTCAGAGATGACCCCTGTCTACACTTATGCACTGTGGGTCCCAGACCAACACAGGGGCCCCAACCACTGCTTCAAGGACCCAATGCAAATCGTGCTCGCCAGTCTTACCGCTGCGTGGGAAAAAAGGGCGCCAGGGTTCAGACTGACGGAGAGCCAACTGTTCGGTGCTCGTAGTCTCTAGCTCACTAGGACACCCGCATTGCCTTGGGGGTCCTTATATCGTGTAAAAGGACCTCTAGCTGATATTTCAGGTCACGACCCTACTGGCCGCGATTCTTTACTCCTATAGCCAGTCCTTCGCGCCCTTATGCATAGTTGGTTCCGTTCGGCCGCCCGGATTTCTTTTCGGGCCCCACCGAACACTGCCCTTGCCCGACTCGTAGCCCCTTACGAGCACAGGACCCTCTGTTAAGCGATATGGGGCCCTGACAGATCATGGTCCCGACTGCAAAATCGCTGGTCTCGGCTTTGTAGCTGATTGTGAAGTGGGCCCTCAAGGCCCGTGCCGATACGAAACGGACTATGGGATGCTGGTGGTGCCTGACCGACATATAGACCCATATCGACTCAGGGTGTCCCTTATCGGCGCAAAGGGCCCTCTGGCAGTCATTTGAGGGCCCGGCCCGCAGACCGGGGCCCCTGAATAAGATTCTGACCAGCCCTTTATGCCCTTGGACCCTCCAATCAAGTCCTCGGTTGTCGGGCCCGATGGGCCTTCCAGGCTCTTCGGGTCCCCTTGAACACTGCCTCTGGCCGACTTGGGACCCCCTTGCTAGCGCAGGGCCTCCAATAGGCGCTGTGGGGCTCGACCAGTATAAATCGTTGGATCCAGTTTTGTCCCGGTTTGGGAAATGCTGCCACGGAGGCCCATGCCGCCTCGGAGGCGACTGTGCGTTACTGGTGGTATCTGACCGACATATAAGCCCTTATCGACTCAGACCCAAGATAAGCGCGCAGGGCCCTCTGGGTGGCATTGGAGTGCCCGACCATACGCGTCGGAATCCCTGAATACGACCTCCGGCCGCCCTTTTGAACCCTTTGGGCGCCCAAATCGGGCCCTTAATCGTACGTGCCGAGGGAAAGCACGTGCCCCCAGTGCCCCCCCCCCCCTACCTGCGGTACTGGTCACAAACCTATATCGGCCAGCCCGACAAGGATGATAATGCTGTATAGCCACAACCAATTAGCCGTCCGAATTCAATCAGCACGCTATATTTACTGCTTTCTCGAACAATCAAGTGCTTTATTTCTGTGACTGAGAGGCGACCCCGACACGGTAGGAGGACTCCGAGTCTCCATTGTTCGTGCAGCACGCTCACAAGCGCTGCCAGAGTCGCTGTGACTCAAACCGTCGGGAGCCCCGCTCTCCGTTCCGGGCCTCGCGCAGGCCAGGGCAGCTGACACGTCCTGTCGCCTCTCATCAGCGTGTGCCGGCACCTCCGGTAAATGTTTGATCGATGTGCGGATGGCGAGTGGCGCGGGCGGAGGTAGGTACCGCGGGGGGGGGGGTGACACCGACAGGCGACGGGCGGCGCCAGCGGAAGTCACTTTCAGCTCCGCCAAACGCCACGCCACGCATGCCGTTCGTGGGAGCGGCCGGCATGTGGCCTGATAGAGGGAGACACCAACAACGCATATGACACGAATATGGTGGAGCATTCCTGTACTGCCCAAACGGAGAGGGAGAAGCTTTACGGTAAGATACACATGCCAAATTGTAATTCAGATAGTTTTCCATCGGTCGAACGGAACACCAGTCCAAGTACAACCAGGCTGGCCCCAGAATTCCTATACCGAGAGTGGCCCGACCTTAGAAAGGTCCGACTCCGAACAGGAGCCCTGACAGGCCATGTATAAGGCCTAGCCACCATTGATAGTGATTGTATTTGCGCAATTTTTTATTGTGTCAAAATTTTTGTTTTGTGTTACATTTAATTTATTGTGGTGATCAATCCGTAAGTGGCGCTCTTCGGGAGTTTTTTGATATTTCATGTTTTTCCTGGCACATGTGGGCTCCATGTTTACTATGGGCTGGCATGGGTCAGCGTGCCGCTCCCTTGTGTGAACATGTGAACACAGCAGCCAAAACTCGTCTAATTGAGGGCCACCAGGTGAATACCGCGACGGCGTGTGAGGTGACCCAGGTCACGGCAACGCACCTCCTCGGAGCTGCGACACTGCTCCAGCAGGTCACACGCGTACCGCTTGCACTGGTCGCTCAGCTGCTGGTAGGTCTGGTGGAACTCGTTCTCCATCCGACTCAGCTGCGTCAGCTCCCACGACAGCTGCAACGCCGGCGGATACAGGTCGGGTCAGGAGGGTCAGTCGAGGGCAGCACAGCTCGCGGCCTACTCTGGCACACCCACGAGAACGCCCACGAGACACCAAAGAGAACACTCAAACCCGGCAACAGTCACCAGCCTGCGTCTATGCCATCACGACCGGTCTCTCCTTCCGTCGAAGAGGAAAGCAGAGACCACACACGGTTCGCGTTATAGCACCGGGCGTCATCATACGTGCCTGTGCTTACTCGGCTGACCACGTAATGATCTTTATGGCGTCAATCGCCCGCCGCTCAGTCGCGGGTTATTGGCCGTTGCGGCGGGCGGCCGAAGCCGTTGCGTCGGGCGTGCTGAAGCCGTTGCGCTTTACGGCAAGCAATTTCAACGAACATGAGCCGGCGACGATAAGTAGGCGAGCTGCGGCAGCGAGGGTCGGCAATATCCTTTGAAGTTGACCCTAGAGGCAGGGACAGGATCGCTGAGACCACCGAGGTAGGCCTGGGGGCGGATGCACGCTGAAGGTTCCGGTCTCCAGGGCTTCACTGGTGAACAGATGACCAGCGGGCGTTTTAAATTGCACCGTAGTTGTACAAATCATCACTGGACTATTTGTCGGCGCATGGAAGAGTTTTAGTTCAGCGGACCTCTCTTCGCCCAGATGCGACCTTCAGGGTGGGTAGAGTAGTACAGTCAATGGTCTATGAAGGCGAAATGCATGCTACGCTGTTGGCAGAGGGCGCGGTAGCTTCACCGATAGGACAGTTCGCAATCGGCAGATGTTATGAATGCACCGTTGATGAATGTTTCCTCAAAGCGTTTCCTTTAAAATGAACGTATTTGCACCAAATTTAGCAACTTTTAATGTCTGCAGAAGGATTCCACAATGCTAGATGAGGACAACATTCTGGAGAGACTCCAAAGATCATCCGTCTCTCGCTGTCTCATTCCCATTTATCTTCAAAAAAGTGCACTTTGAGGGAATGAGATTAGTATAATGGGTGATAAAGATTGATTCACCTAGTCCTCAATGGAAACGCCTGGTAGACAAGAGACTTGTTTAGTATGCATTGGATTGTTTTCCAAAGCGTATTCGTTGGAGTTATTAGACGACGGGCTGTATCAAAGCATGCAGTCGGTGAGAAGCAGTTCGTGATTTTAACGCAAATCTCGTCGAGCCAATCAACTACACATAACTGAAAGATGCGCTTGTGCCAGCGTCGCGCATATCAACGACCGGTTGACGGTGCTTTCTCAGAGCATTGTGCCGTGGGAAGGCAGAAGGCAGCGCCATTGATCTCGGGCGGTGAAATCCGAGAAGTTATAGCGATGTAAGGACATAAAGACGGTCCCGTCACAGGATGTAAGGACATAAAGACGGTCCCGTCACAGGATGTAAGGACATAAAGACGGTCCCGTCACAGGATGTAAGGACATAAAGACGGTCCAGTCACAGGATGTAAGGACATAAAGACAGTCCCGTCACAGGATGTAAGGACATAAAGACGGTCCCGTCACAGGATGTAAGGACATAAAGACGGTCCCGTCACAGGATGTAAGGACATAAAGACGGTCCCGTCACAGGAAACGCTGGTCGGATGACGTAATTCTCATAATGCGGTACTAAGTCATGCTGGTTTAAACGCACCCGTGGCGGCATTTTTTATTTACATTGACAAATTCCCATCTTGCCCTCTCCAGTCAGACTGATGGACTAAATCTGAAGGACATAGACTAAATCTGATGCAGGCATCACTGGCAACATCAACTCATAAAGGCGCTGGAAGTGTCATTCAGGGTGTTTGGTAGCAGTCGAACGATGGAAAACGTCCAGACCATACCAGACCATCCATACCTTCAGAACTAATGCATGTAGAGCTGCTGTGAGTTGAAAGTTTTAATGTTGAATTAACGGCCTTCGTTACACCAGAAGGTACTGGCTAAAATACGTTGCAATGCAAAATAGCGATTATATTGACGATCCACGATATGTTTTACTTGTGCTCAACTTTAAGGGTATATTAAAGGTCGTTAACTAAAAATAAGTTTTCAGCTCACTATATCGGAAACCAGAACCTGAAGGTCTTTCTTTCTTATGTCATGTAAATATACCCGGTTTTCATTAACACGTTAAAAAATACGCAAATCTCATTCCGCGCCGTTTTTCAATGTGCGGCTTCCTCCCACCGAATAGCCTCGCATAATGGACGTTTGCCAGGTGTTTCCCAGCTGCTTCGTTACAGAGAGGGGCCTTCCTACACTTGCAACGGAATCTCCTTTTGAACCGTTGAGGGAGACCGCTAAAGATCTCGCCAAATGAATCATTAAATATTTGGTCATAACTTATTCCAGTCATAGTGACAAAGAAGGGCAGCATTTTTCGAGAACTTTTCAGTAGACGAACTGAGCAAAAATAGAACGGATGGCTTACACATCCCGAAATTTGCGCGTAGACCTTTATGGTGTTCGCACACGAGAAACGCCCAATCAGAACCAAAATCAATTAATTTGACACAGAATGGTGCAACACACATCATCCTGTCACTGATGCAGTGCCACATTGGTGCTACGGGAAATTAGCGCCATTGAATCTGCTGCAAAAACGTGTACGGTTTTACTTATACGGTACATTACTTCTACTGCAAAAACTCATACGCGACATGAGCATTACACGACAAAATTTATACCGCAAACACATGTACCAGTTATCATTTCTATGGTAAAGACTTCACAACCCTTTCCTGTAGCATTAATGCCGCTTGTAAGTCGTTGCAGCAGAAATAAAACCGTGTACAAACAATGACTGCATAAGTTTTAGCTGTAGAGATTATGACGGATGTAAGTTTTTGAAGAATAAGTGTTATGGGTAGCGCTAATGTCACGCATATATTTTGCAGTGGAAGTAATGTGCATAAGTAATGAATGCATAAGTGTCTGCAGTAGAAGTTATGACGAGCATGCGTTTTTGCTGCATAAGTTTTGTCGCGTGGCACTAATATGTGTATTAGAATCGGCAGTAAAAGTAATATCGTAGCACTCTCGTCGGAGGGGGGGGGGGGGGTTGTAGCACTTGTAGAACCTGCTTATCCCACTAATCACGCTCGATTCGACTAAAGCTATAAGTGATGTATTTAAAATAAAAATAAAATAATTTCTTCTTACGTGATCCCACGCTTGGTCGACTCAAAACTCCAATCTCAAACACGGTTTAACTGACCGTATGAAACACATCTGATTGTAGATCACGAGATCACGATGGGGGCACCAGAGGCCTGACCTTGAACGCCTCCAGGATCGGGTCCTCGCTGGTCAGGCTGATCCAGGCTGGTCCGCTGAGCGCCCGGTACGCCTGGATCCGACACAGGGAGTGCCGCAGGCGGTCCTCGGAGATCTCCTCGGTGCACGCGCGGCAGTCACAGTCACTGCCGTGCGGCCGCCGGATGAATGCCCCTGGTAACACATGGTACGGGGGTCTCTAGCGCGACCGGTCACCAGGGCTGGGGTCACCAAGGCTAAATTCTCCATTCGTGGGGTCACCAGGGCCGAGTCTCCAGGCGCAGGGTCCCCACGGTCAGAGTCGTCAGGGGTGGAGTCACTAGGGGCGGAGTCATCAGAGTTGGGGTCACCACGAGCGAGTTCACCAGGGGTTGAACCATCAGGGGTGAGGTCACCAGAACCACGGTCACTGCTACCAAGCGTGGGCATGTTAGGCCCTGACGTCTTCAATGGGCTACGGAGCACAAACACAGTTTTTTCATTATCACTCCACAACACACAGAGCTATGACAAAAGATGGTTTGTGTAAGGCATGAAGAAATGAGGAGTCCGTGAATAGCAAATCGCACCACTTAAGATTGCCTGCAGATTTCCAGGGTAGGCGGACATTTGCCGTTTGAGAACAAGTCACTCCAGAATTGATTGCCTGAAATTATCGTCGCGCACGGCACGAGTCCGAACTTTGGTCATAATTTACACTCCTGGACAGACATTGGCCAATAAGCGAATAGCTGAGCTAAAATGGTCTGCAAGGTACCATTTGTAGCACTATGAGTCGCTGACCGAAGATCTAATGCCCACAGTCCATATAACTGTTTTGAAAAATAAGGGAGAAATTATATCACCGAGAATGTCGTGAATTTGGAAGTCGTCCATGAAAATCCGGCATCACTATCACCATATGACATGGAGTCAGCGGTACATGCTATTTTTCCATAGTCACCAGGATGGGATCTAGATAGATATCGACCCGATTTATCCAGAGTGGGAAACTGTCACATGAATGCCAGCATATTGCAATCATTAGTCTTTCTGACAACTATGGCCGATCTATTGCGCAGGAACGCAGTCTCCTTTTCACATAGTAGAGGGAGCGCAGTCTCCCTTTTCACCTGAGGGGACTTCAGCTTTGAAAAGAGGTTAGCAAAATCCTGGGGAAATCCGTTTTTCATTTATTTTGGGATAGGCGTATCCCTTTTACGCGCTCAGCCCACCAGACGCCAACGGATTATGCGAGACAACCGTCTGGAAACAGTTTAAAACTTGTCGGAATTGCTGAAATGGCTGCTTCGGATTATGCATACATGGTTCAATTATAATGAACAATAACTAAAACAAGTCTACCGATTTGACGAAGGATGATGATGCATCAGTGATCACAGTTGTCGTTACTCAGGATTGGGTATGAAACCCACACTAAGAAGACGCACACCTTACGTGGGGATGTAGTGAAGCCTGGCGACTAAGTGAAACCTCCGCGTGCAACTGAGCGCCTCGCCGCCTCGGCTCCGCATACCATTGAACCGACGTGCTCAGGTATGCGGCGTTATGACTGGCTCTCTCAAGGTGGCGTAAATAGCGGCAGGCGACGAGAGGCTGATGGCCTCATATTCTCCGCAGCTGGCCGGATCTGGTTTACCAGCTCCTCAAACATTGGCGCGCTGATGGCCGCAGACGAACTGCGCCGTTTGCAAGTCAAAACGTCGGCGGTCTGTGTCGCAAGAGCGCCACGTCTGTCGAAGACGGCATGGAGAGGGCGCTCTAGCGGCGCCATGCGGTCGCGTCTGGGACGGGCGGACGGGAAGAGCAGAGGAGTTTCCGGGGCGGACCTCAGGCATTCGGATCGACGAGAGGACTTAGTTTACCCCTGGAGGTATCAGTACAGTGTATCATAGAGTTGGGTCGCTGATAGGGCTCTCAATGAACGCCTCATCATCGTTGGCCCTGGAGGTCGCCCAGCAAGGTGGCACTACAAGGTGGCGGAAGATGGATCGGTACGAGGCGGGTAAAACTGGAAATGACGTCATAGTAAAACTGTTGGTGCTGAGGGGGGGGGGGGGATGGTAGCAGGAACCAGCGTGGGATCTTATGTAGTTCGAAACGGATGTGGACGCCAGCGGTAACGAGTTTTTCAACGTTGCGGAGAACGGGGGGGGGGGGGGGGGGGAAGCGACAGCCATATTTGGCTAGTTTTCCGGTCAACGCCATAGTGCTAATGTAGCAGTTTCATAAAGTTGTGGGTGGCTCCCCCCCCCCCCGCCTTGACCACCCAGTTTCCTTGCCCCGGTGGGTCCTAACAGAAAAGGGCACTGAGAGTTCATGGGGTGGCATGCTGTGTCCATGGACAATACCAATGCCATAAAACCAGCAGATTATACCGTCACTCGATGCAATAAGCCAAGCGAAACATGAGCTTCAAGACGAAAGATGCATGCCATACGCAGAAATTGGTGTATTCTTTAAAGGCATTGCAGATATCCCCGCCGCAAAAACTCCGCCATCTGTACGCGGGAATCAATAAACTTCCGAACCGATATCACTCACTTGGCGTGCAAGCGCTTGATTAACTGAGACCGATTGGTGATTCAGCTTCAGCCACCGTCGTGTACGAGCTGATTGATTCTATCGATCCACCAAAGCCGAGAAGTGGCGGTTCAGCGACCCGCTGCGTCCCCCGACGCCGACATCGTTCCTCACCACAGACACCGCGCTCCGCACCGGGCTCCAGAGCAGCTAGGGCACCTCGAGCTGGCCGCGCTGGACGAGATCGTGACGCCTGAGTGATCGAACTTGCAGCGCGATGAACGGTACCACGATACCCTGGACTCCTGATGATCGATAATGATCGCGATGATGAGACAAACTTATCGCGTGCCAGTGCGATCCGGAAGATCGCCAGTTAGCCATGCTGGAAGACCAACATGCCGTCTAAGCGCCCTCACCGTATGACAGGAAGAGCTGTAGGATCTCGAACTGGTTGCACTGGGCGGCCATCATGATGGGTGAGACGCCCGGCGGCGCGTCGCTGCGCTCCGAGGGTGGCAGCGGCGTCGACAGCATCTCGCATTGGATGGACGGATGCTGCACTATCAGCTCGACGATCTTGTACGAGCCTTCAGCAATGGCGTGCATCAGCGCGTTACCTGCGCACAGGTGGAGCAGGTCAGGTCGTGAAGGTCAGATCAGGTCGAGCAGGTCAGGTCGTGCGGGTTGCGACAGGTAGATGAGGTCAGGTCGAGGAGGTCAGATCAGGTCGTGCAGGTCGGGTCAGGTCGAGCAGGTCAGGTCGTGAAGGTCAGATCAGGTCGATGAGGTCAGGTCGTGAAGGTCAGATCAGGTCGAGGATGTCAGGTCAGGTCGTGCAGTCGGGTCAAATCGAGGAGGTCAGGTTGTGCAGACCGGGCCAGGGGGTTCGGTTTCGAGACCAAGCCGCTGAGGTGGGCCATTGAGGGGGTAAGGTGTACGTGAAGCGGGAGGTGACCGGGACATGTCCAGAGGGCACACCACTGGAAGGGCCGGACACAGGAAGGCACGCCATTCAAGGAAAGGCTGAAGAAGGGCAGATCGTCGGATTGTTCATGAGACGGCAACATGAGTGGTCTTCCTTCAGTGACGGTCAGCTGGCTACACTGGAAGACGATCATTCAAACTTCAGGTGGGCGGGGGGAGGGGAGGGGGGCGGAAACGCGTTGATGACCGATGCAGTGTTGCACCGCGATATCCGTGATCGGTCAAGCGGCGCGTTCCATAGTTGTGATGACTGTCACGTCTTGAGCTTGTCGTGGTCTGATGTCTGAAACTTATCTAACATGGAAATATCACTTTGCCATACTCAAGACACTGGAAAATCGCCAGCTTGTGTGATATACTCTAGATGACGTACATCACCCGGCGGATGCGGTGCAGAAAGACGGTCTTTTACACAGACACGAAGCTCACAGCAATCTCGCTTTGTCACAACGCCTGGGCACGGCTACACAGGTCTCCCTAATAGAGGTGGCGTAACATCTGTGGACATAGCACGGGCTTACGCAAAGGTGCTGCTTACTTCCCTACCGAACAACGCCAAGAAAGTAAAGGTACTGTTTCTGGAGATGCAGGCTGCCCCGCCTCCACTCCCAGAGCTTCCACTGTTCCTGCTCTGATAGCATCGTGCCCACGACACACAGAATGCAAATTCTGATATCTGAACCGCTTCTTCGCAACGGACTCACCGACCGTAACACATTTCCAACTCGTAAATAACGTCCGCATAAACCAGAAGACATTACGCACTCTCGGGAAGCCTCCTGAACCCTTTAATTCGCCACTACCGCCGCCAGCCACGCCGGGTGGGCGCGGCCGATCTATAGCCCGGCTGCGCTGGGCCGGCCGTCTTGCCCAGGTCAGATCAATGCTGGCCGCTTCGACAGTGGGGCGGTGATCGTATGCTAAGCATCGGCCGCCCGCATGGCGGGCCGGCGAGTGACGCCTCCGCCGGAGCCTGGCCGCAGGGCGTGTAATGGAAGTAGCCCGCTCAGCGAATATCAGCTCTTGGAACGACCGAACCAGGATGCTCCGGCATTTGGTAGACTAGGTGGACGCATGCGCTGTTCGGCACCAATGGTGGCTTCTCAAGCACCGATTTCGTTCACTATGTTTACCGGTCGCAATGCCCATTATTTAACTAACAAAAGAGCTACCGCGGAACGGCTTAGATACTATTACCGAACATGTATTTGCAGTATTGCAGGTTCTTGCACGGTTTGCAGTGGCTTCTCCACTTCCTGAAGGTGAACAAAACCCTAGTTTAAAACATGACTGAACAGTCCGCGGTGGCCGACGCCGGTCCATAAACTCAGAGAACGGGAGACGGATAACCGCGCGGAGTTTACGGCTGGGCGTCGAGCGGGAGGTCACACTGCCATCATGCTTTGCTCGGCTGCGGGAATAATAGTATTTGGGGGGGGGGGGGAGGAGGAGGGGAAAAACACGTTCAGGGTGGGTCGTCGCCCAAAATACGGTGATGTCCCGGAGGCGCAGCCATAATTTCCTTGGGAGAGAATGTGTTCGGTAAGTACGCATCGAACTGATTTTCAGTCTTCTATCGGGAGCTGTTTATGGTGGAAGACAGAACGAAATCCAGGCATGGGGAGGGCGGCCGCTTTTCCTCTCGCCTCCCCCGTCGACTGTGACGGCCCATCGACGAAAAGCGCGGCAGGTCTGGTGACGTCTCAATGGCGCAATTAAAACAGGGGCCAGGCACAAGTGCGCGGTGCTTTATTCCTCCTCCCTAATCGCTGCGGGCTGTTCGCTTTCCGCATCCCCTGAGAGCAGAAAGAGGTAAAATAAAAAGTACATAACATCTCGCTACTCGGTGAATCGCCGATTTTAAGAAAGTTTACAAGAGCAAATTTTAAAAGTACTCGAACATTGCGATCCAGATCCCGTCAACCCATGCATGTTAAACGCAAACGCGACCGCTTTACCACACGTAACCACGAAATAAAATTGAATAGGGTTTGTGGCTTGGAGGTTTGTAATACGATTGGCTATATGATTGGATGTAGGGCAACTACCAAAGCTGATATTCTTCATTTTTTCTAGCTGTTTAAATGTTCACAACATTCCACCAGCGGCCTTTCCGAAGAGAACATCGGCGCGCCCGCACCTCAGCTCGCGCGGCCCGCGGCCCGCCGTGCAGACCACTCCCGAGGGATGTCCCAAATAATGACGCCAATACCTCGGCCGCATCGCAGCCGACCGCTCCGGTGAAATAGCCACTGAGGCGCCGGGAGGGACGACAGGCTGCGCACTGGACGGATCCCATGTCCGGATGCACGCCGCATATTTCCCGCGACGTTCTGTGACCGACCTCGGCTGCCAATGGTGGCCACGTCCGGGTCGCCATAGTAGCGGCGCGCCGTCGCTGGCGGGCTGCCGTCAGGCTGCCGGCTTTGCGGAGATTGCATTGGGGTAGGAGTGCCGTCGCCTGACGAGGCGTCGACTCACTTCGGAGAACGTGGCGTGCCGTGACAAATGCGGCATCTGATGCGCAGACAGCACTCAGTTTACGATGCTCGTCGATGAATTGCTGTGAGTCATTTAATAAAATGTCAGAAATACGTGAGGCGAGTTTGTTTCAGGCAGACGTTGGGACTTAGCGCTGTCGGTACATACGTCAAGCAAATTTTGTGCTGGATCACAGTTTATTTCAACCTCGACCGTGGTGATGAGCTGGCTGCGGTTTTACGGTGCGGGTTTCAAAGTGCGGGCTTACGATGACAAAAGGTATCCAGAACATAATGCTGGGTAGTGCGTGCTACACGAACCAACACTGTCATGGTGTCTGAAGTCGCGAAGAGATGCACCTTTTAACTACGCGTGATCATATCTAATCTCGCGTAGCCACAGTGCATGTACCAGTGTGGTGCGAGTTTCACAGATAGCGTCCAACACAAACATCATACAAGAAATCGTTCCGCGGAGATAGTGAGCTTATTCATCCTTTGTTTGCAGGGAAACAGATGTCTTAATGCCATGCGCAAATTTCCTAATTGAACCATGAGAAATTCATTTAACTGTCACAAGTTATGCATGCATACGAATACACACACACACACACACACACACACACACACACACACACACACACACACACACACACACACACACACACACACACACACACACACACACACACACACACACACACACACACACACACACACACACACACGCACGCACGCACGCACGCACGCACGCACGCACGCACGCACGCACGCACGCACGCACGCACACACACACACACACACACACACACACACACATATGCATATATACATAAATACAATAGAGCCGACATGTACGTTTCACCTTTACTTAGAGTTTCATGAAGAGGTCCTCGTTTTTGTGGCACAAACACGAGGATGATTCATATGGATTACCAGAGGATGACGTAGATGCATTGGATGAAGCCGCTGGGTACTGCGGGTTCGGCTGGTGGACTGAATGTGCGCTCGGGCTATTTTCTAAAATACTGTATTGAAGAATATTTTACATTCTCTTCCCTACGTCATGGTGCGCTATAACTTACATACGAACGACATCAGCTGTAAGCTGTCCGTTCACACGCCAACAAATCAATCATATGTGAATATGTTAAGGTGAAGGGGGACCTCCCACCTATCGTGATAGTCACAAGTTAGTGAATTTTACCATATGGTGGTGAGCATGGGAAGAACTGGCTTTTAACTGGGGCTTGTCACCGCACTTCTTCCCTTCATCCGTTATCAAACTAAACTCGGTGAACTCATCAATGTCTTGCTCCCAGAGACAAACGCCCTGGTTGTTCCCAGCAATCGGTCAAAGGCCACACTCTGCACGGGCAGACACAGGCCCGGCCGGGGGCGGCAGGCGGAGAACACCGCCGACACCACGGCTGCGGCCAGCCTTGACTGCCCTGAGCCTCAGGAGACGGAGGCGAGCGTCGCGGGCGCCGGCAGGCCGCCACACCAGCCAGGCGGCGACTCGCCCTGTCTAAGATGACGTTCGCCATGGACGTCCGCAGTCATCTCCCCCCCCCCCCCCTCCCTTCCCTTCCCCAGCTCTGCCTTACCTGTGATGACAGCCTCGTACTTGAGCAGCATCTCGACGATCTCGACGTTCTCGTTGTCAACGGCGATGAGCAGGGCGGAGCGGCCGAGCATGTCAGTGCAGTTGACGTTGACCTGGTCCGGGTCGGAGAGCAGGCGCAGCATGGTGGGCATGTCACCCCGCTCGGCCGCCTCCAGGAACTGGCGCTCGCGAGGCTCCGACATTTGCTGCATCTGCCGACAGATGTTGGGAGACGGCGGACGATGAGAACTCTCTTCAGGGACATTAGGCTTTACTTCCGTCGTTCCCGGACCACACCCACGTCCATAATCTGAATTCCTGAAGAAGTGCGCTCACGGGTTTTGAGTGCAGGTGGTCTCTAAATGCAACAAGACCCACCGCCATTTCTGCGACGCTCGTGACGCTGCCGACCGAGCGCGTGCTCGCGGGGAGCGAAGGAAAAGCGGGGGAGATTGCGCAGCGAAGAGCAAAGCATGAGGTTGGAGGGTTATTGCTGCTCAGTTATGGTCGTTCTGCACATAATATCCTGCTTTCTATGAGCGCTTGTAGCTGTGTTGAACATCAATCCACGTCAGATTTAATATCTTTGTTGTTGTTGAAGCACGGTCAAACCAGATGGGCGGATGATGAGGTACGGAGTAGGTGCAACGGCTTTAGCCTTTGAAACTGATCGCTCTATTGGGATTTCGCAGCAGGCTGTACTATTTTTCTTGAAAAAGCATATGCTCTGTGTCAACAATCCGTTAAATGGTATCTAAATGAGAAAAAAGACATCAAAATACTCAAAACATAAAATACGGCTGCATTCGCGCCAAGTTAATCTGCTGTTCCGACACTTGGACCAAGCTCATTGCAGAAATCACCTGCACTTATGTCCAAAACCCTCACCTAACACCGAGAAGGTCACACCACTTCCAGATCGAGCATGGAAGTTAACGCAGTCTCACAGCATAATTGCCCAACGTACTTCACAAATCAATAGGCAATGGAATACACACACCAGACGACAAGCACGCGGGAATCAGCCGCGTTGGCGGCTTCCAGGGATCAAGCATACGCAGCGTCCTAGAATTGCCGACTTCGGGTGCAAAGCAACACACTTTGAGGAGGAACTTTTCACTCCTTTTCCCCATATTTTATGTGAATTTTTCACCCCTACCTGACATTGTCTAATCGCACATGCCAAACCCCTATTTCCCTTTCTGAGGTTTTCAGATGTCATCCAAAACCGAGCTCACTTGAAACCACCAAGCATAAACGAGGCTCCACAGAACCTGGACACGTATGGCCTTGTTCTGCCTCACCTACATCTGAATCATGTCTATGTATGCACAGAGCAAGGGCGCCAGGTACCTCCAAGCCCAAGAACCCCAGCGACTCCAGCCGCTTGCACGCATTAAGTTTGGTTTGTTTACAAAATGCATCACAATCGGCCCCTGTGTGCCAAATGCAAGGTTTTCACGCATCCCCTACTTTTTGGTCTCATCACCATACCATGAAAACAGAGCCTGGTGCAAGCACCAGCAAGGCCTGGTAGATAATTTTACTCCATGTATTTCTTTTTTCCCGAGGAAACTTGACCACTAAATCGCATTACTACAGAAATGCAGGAGTGAAAAAGTCAAGAAACGTCTTCTAAATTAAGTCTAAAAGTTGAATATTACCATTTGAGCATTAATGTCACCAGATTTTAAGCCAAATCAGTTGATTACAAAATTTTGCCAGAAAAGTCTTTATATTTATTTCACTACTTTTGCTTTTCTTGGCATCTTTAGAGTGTGATACCACTTTATTCTTTCTTCCTTTTCGATTGCCTTTAGAGGTACCATCTGCTGCTTAAAATGTTGACCAATTTCTCTGTAAGATGCCCCAACTGCAAATCTGTACATACATAATAATTTCATACATAAACTGGATTAATTCGCCAGCCGCCCAGACATGTTTGATATGCACCCAAGAATGAACAATTGACAGGAGATGAAGGAGACAATTTGAGGCACTTATCTTATTTTCACCGCCATTTTTGCCCTCTTCAACCCTCGGTTAACCGTTTTCTTGGTTCATGGCGGTGTTCAACAATGATAAATCTAAGCCTTTCGAGTGTCTAACTTACCAGGCTACCTGACAAGACTATCTTAATGCTGTCATACAGAGCTTTGGGACAGACCTGACGCAGCTAATACAGAAGTGTTGGATGACGAAATTCTGCCCTCCGGAAATGTTTCTCACTCACAACTCCTACTTGTTTCGCATTTTAATCTCGCATGTTGGTGGGCATGATTGATATTTATATTTGGGGGGGAGGGGGTGGGGGGTGGGTGGGTGGGATGACTCTGTCTGCCAGCAGACCATGCAAAAGGTACTGACTTTTTGTTTTGGGGGAGCAGGAAGAAGCCAGTAAGTCTCCTGTGTACCAAGCACTTGCTTACCTTACCTGCTTTCAACACATGATTGGTAACCAGAGTTAGCCATTTTCTGTTTTAATCCATCGAGTTTTGTCATAAGACAAATCATGATGCCACAAGGCATGCAATGGGCTCATTTTTTCCATATTCTTGATTATTTGTTCCAAATTTCTTGAAGTGGTCCCTCATGGCTGCTTTAACCGGATGTTGTCTACAGCTGTTCTTGTTTGCTGACTGGCAAATAACTTCTGTATAAATGCATTATATTTTTAACACATGGATACTCTAAGCTGCTTAGCAATTATAACATCACTTAAATATTGGTATGTAACAAAAAGTCAGACGATTCCACTTAAAATGTGAAGCCAACATCTCAAACTGCATCATGAAATATGAATAAACGAGCCTAAATAGATGCTTTTGCTGCAGCTGAAAATGCAAGCAGCAATACTGGCATGGTCATTTAAAATCATGTTGCTTTTGGAGAGGAGAGATTGTTTTGTGGAGCATACCCATTATTGCCCTTGACATGGGTTAACCATGGCAATCAAAATAAGTTGTTCAAAGTGATTTGAAGTGTTTTCATTTGTGTGTTGCCAACTTTGTCTGATGTCAACAAGCATACACAAATGAACTGAAGAAAAATCGAAGTTGAAACCAGTCAAAAATCAGCTTTAACATGTTGTTATCACAAGTGCTGCTGTCAACAGATAGGTGAGTTGAAACGGTGTTCGACATATGGGCTACTTTAAGTTAGGTTAAGTTGGTTAAGTGCATAGCAAGTGGCAATAGGAATTGTCCAAGGATCAGCAGCTCACAACTGCTGCTGTGATACAAACTGGTTAGACAATATGAGATAAAGTAAGGTCTCTTCACGTTAGGCATAGTTAGGCTATTTTTATGGAATAATCATTGGTATTTTGTAAGAAGCGGTGGCAAAATGTTTGTTTTCATTGACCCCATCTTAGCAAAGGCCAGGGGTATGTCTATTGTGTTTCACTTGGTCATGGGCTGATGCGTAGGAGTCCAAGGTTTTTTGTTTGTTTGGGTGTTCTATGCTTGTTGAATTTTCTGTTATTTTGATATTGAATTCCTTTGCTTTGTTTTGTGTTGAAGTGTTGTGGAAAGGCAGTGCAAAGTACAGCATCAAATTACTGGTGTTAATAATTTTATGCTCATTACACTGTCATGAAATAACTATGCTTTAATGTATTCTGTTTCACTTTAGCGGCTTAAGATGTTAAAAACCAAGAAGTTTTGTCAGGTTTATGATATTACGTCCATGCCAACTTGAAATAGATGTCTTTGTTTGCTGAAGCATCAGTCACAAGCTCACAAGTTCTATCTTTTGTGAATTGATTTTTTCACTCCTGCACGGTCCTTTTGTGATGACATTTTCCACTCCCACCTTAGTTCAAAAGCAATTCTGGCTCCCTGGGCATACGCTTCTTGCAGCGAGCGCGCCTGCGAGAGCCCAAGAGGTCGGGCAGATCCGCGCTATCACAGCCGGCGCGCCCGCAGGATCCCCGGAGTTCGGGCGGATGTGCTGTGCTGCAGTCGGCATCCCTGCGTGATCTCCAGAGGTCGGCATATGTCCGTTGTCGCGGCTGACATCCCGCAGGATCCCCAGAGGTCGGGCAGGTGTGCGTTGTGGTAGTCGACATCCCCACAGGATCCCCAGGGGTCGGACAGATTTGCGGTGTCACAGCCGGCGTCCCCACAGGATCTCCAGAAGTCAGGCAAATATGCGCTGTCGCAGCCGACATCCGTGCAGGGCCTCAGTCGAGTGCGTACCCTTCATTGCGGCAAAAACCACGCTGCTCATGACACGAATCGGGCATTTTCGCGGGTGGACGAGCTTTTGGCGCAAATTGCTTACTACTCGACCACCTCTAGTGATGCTGACATGGTAGCAACGGCAAAAATGCGAGTGCGACAGGGGCACATAAAAAACGGGGGTTCTGCATCTGTCTGCATTTATGGCCTGCATTACACCGAGTTAAAAAAGCCATTGAAAAAGCAACCAAATAACATGGTCAAGCCTGCTTAAAACTTAACCTACAGCAAAACGGGGGAATGTATCGAGCTGCAAACAACTTAATGTGTGTTTCGTTTCACGTCAATGCCGTGCCGTTGCCAATGCTGTGTCCATAAATGCTGATTTCAACTTTTTAGGGAACAATTTTTTTCTTCGGGCAAAATCCAGCGCAGAAAGACGATTCCAATCACCATGGCTTCAAGTGAACTTTTTATGTGAGTAAATGCATATTAATGAGTGGAAATATATTCATGCAAAGAGTATGGGTTGAGCAAGCCAGCACCACTTATACCCCAACCTCACAAATATGTCTCTTGATAATAAACGCATAAAATAAAAGTTACATGCAATGTCGTGTCCAACATCACGCCTGTCAGGCTAAAGACACCGTTCAAGCATGGAAAACAGATGAAACGTTGTCCATGTCCGTTGTCCGTTGTCTCCCCCTCTCGGCATTTGGCCACAGTTCAGCGAAAGTCCGTAAAGAGGAAGGGTGGCCGGGAAATCATTACGGGAGAGTATGGCAATAAGAACCCTTTGGCATGCAGCCGACGCGTAGCGGCTTACGTCTACCAGCATTAATACCCTTACACTACACATGCAGTTCGTAATGGGCTGGAAAGGCGTGTCTAGAACTGCAGCGAACTAGAAGTTTGGCAAGCCTGGCGCAGCTTTCGGGTCTTGAATTGCTTCAATCATTTCTAATGAAACTAAACTTCAGGCCAGTGTTGTTATGAGCAGAGCCCAGTGGCAAAGGAGTCGATCAAAG